CAGAGGACCACCAGGGAAGGAGGTAGATGGATGCCGATGTGAGCTCGTCGCTCTGAACATTAGTTCACGAACAGAGCGCCAACGACACGACTTTGACACGTTTTAACGAGGTTCGGACAATTTTTGCGAGGGTATCATGACACCCAACACCACTGCCACCTAAGCCATGCTCAAGTACTCACTTAGAGGCAACCAACAGTACGAGAACATGAAGTTAGTGTTTAAATAATTTGGTTAGAATTTGATTGTCAAAACGGCATTGTCTACTATCATTTCCAGACTTAGAAGAGGGCAAGGTTTAGATAGAACTAACAACCATTAGCATTTTTTGTTGCAATCTTTAATATGTCTAAACCTTATTAATTTCAACCAATGATTATTTCACTCAATAGCCCATACTACATACTAACCCATAGGAGCAAAACATTTAAGCACCTTTTAACTATTTTGCTCAATATAATTCACCAAAAATGACGTTCGTAACCTAAGCTCAATTTCTTATCGATTCAACGGAAAGTTCTAATTTAAATTTCGGATTCGATTTTTGAGCTCCCAAAACCCTAGTTAACAATATTCACTTCCCAAAATTAAAGTTGTATTCTTATCTACACTATCTGCTCACCATTTTTACATAAGCACTATCATACGTTATATTTTGTTTTTGTTTACAGAAATTGTTTTTTGTTGTCTGTGTGTTTTAACTTGTTAAAATTCAAAAACTCGTTCGGCTAGATTATCCGAGGCCTTAACCTAGGTGCTAAGCAGGTTCGTAACACCAAAGGTGTTACAAATAATGTCAAAAACCGGGATAACATTATTTTTATTTTATGGGTTTTACTTCATTTTTTAACTAATAAACATGCGCGCGCATTGCAAAAGGTGACATACAATTTATTGTGCGGTGCTTGTACCAATGACAATAAACTATCTATATTTTATTGGATTTAATTAGGCTTGACCCAACCTTAAATCAAATAAATTCCAAGCCCATGATAACTGTTAGTGCAATAGATGATTAATCTGCTACGAAAATTGACAGGAGATTTACTAAACTTAAAAGGGGGCTATTGTGCAAATGATATGAGTTTAACAAAGTTATAAGACGAGTCACACACACCACGGTGCGAACAGGCTAGGGGGGGGGGGCGCAAGCCATGACATGAATAATATAGCGTCAATGATTGTTTTGTAGCTTCAAACTCAAAGGTGGAAGGGTGAGTGAGTGTCGTTCGAGTGAGGGACGAACGGATAGGAGGGAGGGAGGGGGGGAGTGTGTGAGAGAGAGACGATTTTTTCTCTTTAATCTTTAAAATAAATATAGATAAATATATAGTTTTATTGGTTGCGTCAGTAGAACCATTTTTTGATAATATATATTTTCTGGTAGCTTTGGCATCTGAGTATCACCTTTATTTTCAACAAGGTACACATGATTGATTAATATATGTCTAAATTATAGGGAACAAACGCATTAAGCTGATGGTGCCATTTCACTCCGTGGTATATCACCACAGGGGTTCCCAATCTCAAGTGGTCCAAATCTTAGAAATAATGCATACCCATACTGACACACACAGAGACACAAATTAGTAAATTATTTTATTTTTCTTGAGGGGAGGCAATCCATTTAGAGGAGATGATTTTCACGGAAAGAAAAAAGGGAAAAATGACATTTGGAGGAGATGGTTTCTAGAGAGACGAAATTTGGTTCTTTTTTCTTAAAAATGAGCTGAGCACTCTACTCCATTATTGTTACGAGTATATTCCCCAAAGTCCAAGAAGTCTGCTCCCTCAACGAAAAAGAGGTCTACTAAACCTGGCCCACTGGGCCGTGCAGTTTTCTGACTTTGGACCTGACCAAAACCTGCATGGCCTACTAACGCCCATATTGTCTGCACCGGCCCGTTCGCTTGTCTGAAAAAAGAAGTCAAAACACTATAGCGACTAATTAGATGGGAGAGAAATACTATAGTGACTAGTTGATGAATAGTACCCTATAAAGAGAAACCAGCTCGGCTGGTGTGAAAACCAGACCAGCGAACTGGCCCGTAGTACTGTACTAGCGTGCACTGCATCGGCGGCACGGCGGGGGACACCGCGCCGATACCCGCTAAGCGTCGCCGGCCGGACGCGACCATGACGGCCAGGCCATTTGGGGTAAAAATCCGTACGGCCCTCGCCTGCACTGCATCTGCATGCTATCATCGTCGTCATCATCGATCATGTTCCCTCCGTCCGTCCATCAGCCAGCAAAAGGGGCGAAGCCAGGAAAATTAGTCGCTGGGGTCAATACTCACAGTACTAAGTGTCATAGGTTACAAGGTTTTTAATTTCGGTATTACAAAAATTTCTGCCGCCCTCGAATTTACCGAATTTTATGAAATTCGGTCAAAAATTTTCTAGAGACTAGCACATGAAGTATGTTTTTCTAAGAATATTTAGATCTAACACATATTAGCATGATTTATGACTACACATTTATTGAGAGAAGAATATGCAACATAAACAATAGAAAATATGAGTCTAGAGTTATATAGCACATGTATCGGTGTATTACAAAAATTTGAATTTTCTTTTGGCCACCACCGAAATTCGCGAAATTTCACCAAAATTTTGAACCATGACGATAATATATATCATACATAACATCGCAAAGATAAAATAGCAATTGCATAGTGCGCAGTTACCTCTGTGGTTACAATCCTCCATCTTATGAATGTACTACTTGCCTTTCGAGTTCAGACTGTATAGCTGGAAAAAAAAACAAAAAACTTAAGACTGGACGGAGACACACTCAGAAGAGGAGATAAGCGGAGAGCAACCTTATTGCTATCACCAGAGCTACCCGCTGTCGCGAGTCGATGGCTCGCTCATCACTGGGATTTAAGTCCGGCCGGCCACCCAACTCAAATCATCACTTCACCACCGGATGACAAGGAGTATTAGCGATGCGCGGATGACAAGGAGTATTAGCGATGCGCTGATGGGAGAAGCAGAAAGGATTTGGGATGCAACGTTTGGCATTCAGGCCGGCTGCCTGCCTATACTATTGCTATCCTGATCACTCATGGGCTAGGAAGATATCGAGATGGACTCTTGCTATTGGGCTGTCAACCTACCACCGGGGTCCAATAAAAAATTTACTGGGGTCAATACCAATACCGGCTAACGCCGTGTTTAGTTCTAGGAAATTAAAATTTGGAGATATTGTAGCACGTTCGTTTTTATTTGGCAATTAGTGTTTAAACATGGACTAATTAGGCTCAAAACGTTTGTCTCGCAATTTTCCACTAAATTGTGCAATTAGTTTTTTTTCTTCTATATTTAATACTTCATGCATAAACCGCAAATATTCGATGTGACAGGTACTGTAGCACCTTTTAGTATTCTGGTAGAACTGAACACGCGCTAAGAATCGGTGCAAGCGCGGCGGCAAAACCGTCGGGGTCGGCCGTCCCCGATCGCCCCTGCCCAGCCACACACCCAAGTGTCCATGTATACGACATGATGCATGCATCTCCATACCGTGTCAACAGGCGGTTGTCAGTGAGCAGTACACTCATCAGACTCAGTGCTGCTACGGACGCACGGCCGCGTTCGCACGGAAGCTGCCTCGTGGCTTCGATCATCAGATCGTCGTCCAGAGGAAACGTGTCACCATGCACGAATGGCAGGCAGGCAGCACTGCAGCAGGGCAATCCATGGGGCAGGTGTGCGTGTGATCTGCGTGCTTGCGGGCGGGCGATCCTCCGGCCCGCGGTTGATGTCCATGTCCCACAAGAGCAGAGCGCGTGCAGGGCGGCAGCCGGCAGGGCATGGCCGTGTCGACTCGTCGTGTCACCCGGCTCGCCGGCTCGCAGCAAGAGATTTAGGGGGTGTTTGATTCTTTAGGTGCTTCTAAAATTTATGTCACATCGAATATGTAGATGCTAATAAGGGGTATTAAATATAGATTAATTACAAAACCAATTACATAGATTGAGGCTAATTGATGAGACGAATTTTTTAAGCCTAATTAATCTATCATTAGCACATGTTTACTGTAGCACCACTTTGTCAAATCATGGACTAATTAGGCTCAAAAGATTCGTCTCGTAAATTAGTCGCAAGTTGTGCAATTAGTTTCGTAATTAGTCTATATTTAATACTCCATACATGTGTTCAAACATTCGATATGACAAGAATTTTAGAAGGAGCCTGAGGAACCAAACGGGCCCTTAATACGGCAGCAGGTCTCTTCGTTTCACTGGAGACTGGACAGTGGACACAGCAACGTTCATTGAGGAACGGAAGGGGTGGTGAGTTCGTAGGCAACCCGGCCGGCCGGCCGCCGGCCTATCTAAAAGCAGCAATTGGGAGCCGACTACTCCATCCGTTCTAAAATAAAAATACGGTTACGATTTAAATGAAAATAAAAAGTACATCTTGGATTCAAATGTGCAGGCTACTGTAACTCTGAAATTGCATTTTTATCCCTAAAAAGTGGAGCTGAACTGGCAGTACAGGTGCCGTGGAGATGGTGCCGCCTGCCGCTGGATGGTAGTCTCGGTTGGTACCAGTGACCAAACGAGTGGTCAAGACCCTTCCACGTTGGTTTTCCTTTTTGACTATGGTGATTTTTTTATTTCCTTGCCCCAAACGTGATTGCCCTACCCTTCATTGTGGGATAGATTTTAAACTCTAGATGTACTTTTTATTTGGAAGTGACTACACAACTTTCAGTTGATTTTGTTTCGTTAAATCAACCAGATTTTCAACCAATCAAAGACTGACACGTTGTAAGTCAATCTGATTTAAAATCTAGAAGATATAGGACAATAAAACAACCAGAAATTAATCCGCCAAGCACAATAAAAAAAGTGATTGAAAAACTAAAACTGCCAACAACCAGATCTCAAACAACGAGTGGATCACACCCTACTACTGACCTCCACAAGATCCGATCCATTCACGTGAGAGAAAGGAAAGAGGCACCTCACGTCCTCACGTGACATAAAGATTCAACTTGAGTGCTAAGAAAAAAAATAATGAGAAAGAAGAAAACTAAGACAAAACTTTTAAGGATTAAGATTAGTTGAAACCGAAACAAATTAAAAATTATACTTACCCTTACAAATGATTTAGCAGAATTCAAACCACCAAGAATTTTGTTAGCATGCTTCCCAGGCGCATCTATGGGGTTATTTTGAATAACCTACAATTTTTTTAAAAAATAAACACAATATGAGGCCAAATAAAATATCAAACCATTCGAAGTGAAATCAATTTTCTCAAATTCCTAACAACTAGGATAAATCCACAAAATTGAAAAAAATGTTGAATTAGGTTGAACTGACCAATAAAAACAAAGAGAGAGAAAAAACCTTGCTGCCAAGATCAATGCCTCCTTTCTCAACTTCTTTTCTAGAGGATGAATTAGATTCATTGGGGTATCTTGCCTTAATCTTTTCTACAAAGGTGTTGCAGGTTCTAAAAATCATTAAAAACGCCTCAGATGAAGAAAATAAAACATATAAGAATACAACATCTAGGAAATAAAAAAAATAAACCATTGAATCTCATAACTCATTGGACTAAAACTAATAGCACATTCCAACTACGTAACAGGGTCGGTGCTACTAGTAGTGGGAAGATAGCAGGGTTTGGTGTGGTGGAGCAGCATGGAGGCGACGACATCTTCGTCTTACTCTAGTAGGATGAGAGAAGAGGAGGGAAATGAAGGAGCAGAGGGATTGCAACTCTTGCCTCAGTAAGTACATAAGTTGGGCATTGAATCCTCCCCCAGAGTTAAACCTCCCCCCTCAAAATGAAAATAAAAAATGAAAAAATAAAATGAACCACTGAATCTCAGAACTCATTGAACTGAAACTAAATAGAATATTTTAACTGAAAATAAAACTGAACAAATAAAATAACTTGACTAAACAAAACAACAAATTCTGAAACTCAACCACTGACAAAAGAACTAGCAACTAATAGAATCAGATTACCAAAAACTTGCCCTAGACATAAAATAAACTACAAGTTAATGGAAACATCTGACTAAAATCTACAGGACAAATTTAAAAGATGACACAAAAGACTACACTTGAAAAAAAACAAATGGCAAAGATACCAGTTAAACAAGTTATTTAACTCCAATGAAGCAAGGTTTCTAAATAACATAAATATTGAACCACTGACACTCGAAAAACATAATAGCTGAAACTAAATAAAAGAACAACTTCTTTTTTAAGACAATGGGAATAAACATCCAGCTTCATCCTCACTCAAAGGCGCGGAATCAGACCAAATTATTATAAATAAAATAAAATAACAACTTCTACAAATGAACAACTGACAAAAGAACCATGTACTGAAACAGATTACTGAATTCTCATTTCCTTTACAAATGCCAACGACGTGCTCAAGCAGTACTGTACTTATTCATCGGGATCCAACAATTCTATACTTATTCATCGGGATCAAACAATTTTTGTTCCCTATATACTCCATATATATATATATAATATAACATGTTCATGGAACATTTTCACACTGCATGTCTGCATACGAGCACTATTCCAAAAAAAGTAGTACGAGTATATGATTCTATCTTTTTTGTAGGGAAACATGTCCAGTATGGTCACGAGCAGCACCGACGACGACGAGGAAGCTCGGGACGAGGCAAAGGAAGCTGCTGCTCATCGCGGCGTCCGGGGAAGCTGTGGTTCCCGACGTCCCGCCGGTCACTGATACACAGCCCAACAAGAAACTGAAACGGCCCAACAAGAAAGAAAGCCACCGAAGATAACTCGAATCTCAACAAAATAGTAGCCATAGCAAACTTATTGATTAAGAGACGAAACAACACCCGGAAATCCCCTTTTTATTTTAGGACGGAGGGCTCCCAATCATCCGCGACATAGCGGCTTGCAGGCCGGGCCGTACACGTGAGCAGTTTCGGGCGCATGCATGCATGGACGCAGGAGTACAGCTACAGCTACAGCGCGCGGGCAGCAGACTGAGCCTGTCCGGAGCTCGCGCCATGTCTCTGTGTCCCTGCTAGCTCGCTGAGCAGTCACCGTCGTGCCTGCCCCCGAACGCGCCGCAGTGTCCTGACAGCGCTCACGCCCCGCGAGCGCGTGCGGTGCGGTTGCGGCGACATGAATAGATGATAGATCCTCGGGTGAGGGTCCGTTTAGTTTCATCCAAAATCCAAATATTTTTGCGTAGTATTTATCACATTGAATCTTGCGGCACATGCATGGAGTACTAAATATAGATGAAAAAAAACTAATTACACAGTTGAGTGAGAAATCGCGAGACGAAACTTTCAAACCTAATTAGTCCATAATTAGACACTAATTACCAAATACAAACGAAAGTACTACAATAGCTGAAACCTAAAAATTTTTGGATCTAAACGGGGCCTGAACCTCGCTGCTCCAGTCTGCCAGACGAAAAGTTGCTGCATGCCTCAGTCTCAGGACAGATCGATTCAGGCTGTGTTTAGCTGGGTGTAGTTTAGGAATTTGGCTACTGTAGCATTTTTGTTTTTATTTAGCAATTAGTGTTTAATCATAGACTAATTAGGCTCAAAATGTTCGTCTCGCGATTTTCAACCAAATTGTGCAATTAGTTTTTTTTCGTCTACATTTAATACTCCATACACGTATCGCAAGATTCGATGTGATAGCTACTGTAGCAACTAATAGAATCAGATTACCAAAAACTTGCCCTAGACATAAAATAAACTACAAGTTAATGGAAACATCTGACTAAAATCTACATGACAAATTTAAAAGATGACACAAAAGACTACACTTCAAAAAAAACAAATGGCAAAGATACCAGGTAACAAGTTATTTAACTCCAATGAAGCAAGGTTTCTAAATAACATAAATATTGAATCACTGACACTCGAAAAACATAATAGCTGAAACTGAATAAAAGAACAACTTCTTTTTTAAGACAATGGGAATAAACATCCAGCTTCATCCTCACTCAAAGGTGTGGAATCACACCAAATTATTATAAAATAAAATAAAATAACAACTTCTACAAATGAACAACTGACAAAAAGAACCATGTACAGAAACAGATTACTAAATTCTCATTTCCTTTACAAATGCCAACGACGTGCTCAAGCAGTACTGTACTTATTCATCGGGATCCAACAATTCTATACTTATTCATCGGGATCAAACAATTTTTGTTCCCTATATACTCCATATATATATATAAGGCTGTGTTTAGTCGAAGAAAAAGTTAAAATTTGGGTACTGTAGCACTTTTATTTTTATTTGACAAATAGTATTCAATCATGGACTAATTAGGCTCAAAACGTTCGTCTCGCGATTTTCAACCAAACTGTGTAATTAGTTTTTTTTTCGTCTACATTTACTGCTCCATGCACGTATCGCAAGATTTGATGTGACAGATACTATAGCACTTTTTTGGAAGTATTTTTAAAACTGAACACGCGCTAACATGTTCATGGAACATTTTCACACTGCATGTCTGCATACGAGCACTATTCCAAAAAAGTAGTACGAGTATACGATTCTATCTTTTTTTAGGAAAACATGTCCAGTATGGTCACGAGCAGCACCGACGACGAGGAAGCTCGGGACGAGGCAGAAAGGCGGCTGCTGCTCATCGCGGCGTCCGGTGAAGCTGTGGTTCCCGACGTGCCTCGAGCTTGGCGCGGACACGGCGGGTCGTGGCTGCGTGGCCGGTCACTGATGCGCAGCCCAACAAGAAACTGAAACGGCCCATCAAGAAAGAAAGCCACCGAAGATAACTCTAATCTCAACAAAATCGTAGCCATAGCAAACTTATTGATTAAGAGACAAAACAACACCCGAAAAATCCCCTTTTTATTTTAGGAAGGACGGCTCCCAATCATCCGCGACTGTTAGCAGCACACAATCTAGAGGATGAACTCAGATCACTCCAACTCCAAATCAATCAGCACAGGTAATAATATCCGATACAATAAGAGATAGAATCAGGGGAAGGCAGCAAGGAGGGGAATTAAGGTGCTAGGAAGAAGTTACTAGAAGGATCTAGAAGAGAAAATCTGGGTACAAGAGGAAGGAACTTGAGGAAGAAGATGAACAGTAATAGCAAAAGGAAAGGTAATCTGCTGGTATTGGATAATTTGTTCGATGCCTTCGAAGCTCCTGCTCTCTTACTTTTGTAGGCTCCCATCCAGCAGAGTCCGAACTGGGCTCAAGGCCCAGGCCAAAGCGACGGCCCAGCATGGCTTATCTCTAACATTCCCCTCTCCTTGAGGTTCGGCTTGCCCCCAAGCCGATGAAATGGATCCACCGGGGTCCCAAATGAACTTGCACTTGGTACATGACCTTGCTACTCGAAATTTATGTGCTGTGACGTCAAGCAAGAAAGACCGACAATTGCCACCACACTTCCGGTGTACTCGCTGTTGAATCGCTGATATCAAGAGCTGCAAACCATCAGGATCCCATGGCACTGATGCCTCCATAGTGAAAATGTGCAGTAACACCATAACATTAGTTCCCATCATCTTTTCTGTTTCAAAACTGAACTGAAACTCCTCATGAGCAAGAGAATTAATTGCAAGCAGCAGCCACATGGCGCTAGCTGTTTGTGCTTGGACAGTTGTGGTAAATTGATGCAATAACACACCACTATTGTTGAAGTTGTACACTGCAACTATGACGTCAAGCTTGTGGTGATCTCCCCACATAGGAGAAGGAAGACGGTGGACAGAATCATACTTGATCAGTTGCATCAATACTGAATAAAACTCAAAAGTATGCATAGTCACCTTGCTACAGCCTGCCAATTTCAGAACCGCATTGAAATGAACCAGGTGTATAATAATAAGTGCATCAGGACTGAGCAACCGGTGATGCTTCTGAACTGGTAGTATTGACAGAAGGAGCACCATAGAGCTGAAAAATCTCATCTCTGCAATTAGTCCCACAAAACTGATGACAAACCCATGAGATAGAGAGGTGTAATCAAACTGTGTAAGCCCCCGATTAATCACGCCATAGAGTAGCTGCATCAGACACTCGTGGACTGAACATGTACTGCGCCAAGTTGTCAGACAGGTAAAGGATGGCCAAGGTGTAGGTCTGAGTTGAACACCATCTCTCAACATCTCAAGCTGATGAGGTGGTGGCCACGGAGGCCTGTACTGCACAGCAACCCAGCCTGCTGAATCTCGCATGAACAAATGAATCGGAGCAACATCCCTCTTGCTAATTTCAGCTATCAGCTGATGGTCCTCAAGATTACCAATATCCTCATCACCGAGTATCACAAACTGCACTGGATTCTGAGAGAACTGGCCCTCAAACACCCACTGAACACCATGTGTCTCAGATGCAGAGCATGGCATCACAACACCAATCAAGTATGCATGGGTGAAGTTGGTGATGTACCTAGTTAGCATTTCGTCCAACACCCAATGAGCGCCCATGGTGGCGTTGATGATGGAGATGAATTGGACGCTGGTGGTGATAGGATCCTTCGCTCTCGTCGAAGCTGCTGCTGTAGACGCCTCTATGATGTTGCGGACGTGCTGGTCGGTAGCTTGCAGTGCGCGACCATGGGAAAGACTGCGGGCGCAGCGCAACCACGGAGCTCGAACGCACAGTGCTCCAGACGTGCGGCGGTGGTGACGGAGACGAGCACGTCTCGGTCCAACTTGAGTACGAAGGGCTCCATACCCGGAACGGAGACGAGCACGTCTAGGTCGAGCTCGTGCACGTCCGGTGTTTGACGCACACGTGCACGAACGGCTTCTCCTCGGGAGCGCACTCGATACGGTTGCCACCGAGTGTCGAACACCTTGAGGGCAGCGTTGGAGGCATCCCAGGGTGCACCATCAGCTGGGAGGTGCCAAGCTCGTAGAGGCGGCAGAGGTCCTGCACGGCGTTCCGCTCGAACTGGTCGGAGTGCACCAGCGACACGAACGGAGCGACGCGCCAGAGAGGCCTCCAGCGGCGGGAGAGTATCGACGTGCGCGTGGCATCCTTGATGGGAAGGCGGGAGACAATGTTGCCGAGGAGCACGTCGGGAAGGAGGCTAAGGCGGTCGAGGACGTGCAGGGAGACTGCGGTGACGACAGCGCTGGAGTTGGCACGGTCGAGGTGGTTGGGGATCTCGTCCCCGACGGAAACGCGGTTCTGCACGGGCGGATCGGCCTCAGAGTCGAGCTTGGGGGCGTCGCGCTGCTCGTGGGCACCGATGAGGAGGACCACGGTGGCTTCCCATTGCTCCCGTGCGGTCTCGGAGAAGTCGGAGAACTGCGAGTCCTCGAGCAGGCCGAGCATGTTGCACGACGCCAGCTCATGGCACTCCAGCGACGCGAGCTCCTCGGCGACCTGCTGAAGGCCGAGGTCGATGCTCGTGCCCGAGAGCTCCTCCCCCGCAGTGTCGTCGTGGACGGGAGGCGGAGGTCTTGCCTCGATGCGGTACGGCCTGTCGACGATGGCAGGAGGATGCGAAGGACGCGCCGCCTCGACAGCCGGCTGCAACAGCGGCGCGAGGGAGGATGGCTTCGGATGTTCCGCGGAGAGTAGGGAGGAGGGCGGAGCGGGCACTGAGTTCCGCGCCGTCGGCGACGGAGGCGCGGTCGTGTCGGAGGAAGCCAGCTCGCAGACTCGCTCCTCCAGGACGTCGCTCAGCTTGAGGGCGCCGATGCGGAGCTCCTCGACGGCATCCCGCGGCTCCCTCATCGGCGGAGCGTCGTCGAGCGCGATGGAGACGCCCTTCTCGGACGCGGGGCGGAGCGACTCGGAGGCGGGGGTGTTGACGGGGCCGTACCGGACGAGCTTCTGGTCAGCGCTGAGCGGCGCGTCGGGTTCGGTGGAGGTGACGAACGCATCGACGGGGACGGCGCCCGAGTCGTCGTTGCAGGAGGAGGGAGCGCGTCCGCGTGCGGGCTGCTGCAGCCTGGCGAAGAGCCGGTCGAAGCGAGCATCGGACTCGTCGAACCTCCTGTGGATCTCGTCGAGAAGGAACCGGATAGAAGGAGAGATCTCGGTAGGGGATTCATGGTGCTAGACCGAGAATCGACTCTCTGATACCACTGGTTAGCAGCACATGATCTAGAGGATGAACTCAGATCATTCCAACTCCAAATCAATCAGCGCACATGTAATAATATCCGATATAATAAGAGATAGAATCAGGGGAAGGCAGCAAGGAGGGGAATTAAGGTGCTAGGAAGAAGTTACTAGAAGGATCTAGAAGAGGAAATCTGGGTACAAGAAGAAGGAACTTGAGGAAGAAGATGAACAGTAATAGCAAAAGCAAAGATAATCTGCTGGTATTGGATAATTTGTTCGATGCCTTCGAAGCTCCTGCTCTCTTACTTTTGTAGGCTCCCATCCAGCAGAGTCCGAACTGGGCTCAAGGCCCAGGCCAAAGCGACGGCCCAGCAGCGACATAGCGGCTTGCAGGCCGGGCCATACACGTGAGCAGTTTCGGGCGCATGCATGACGCAGAAGGAGTACAGCTACAGCTACACTGCGCGGGCAGCAGACTGAGGCCTGTCCGTGGTCTGTCCCTCCATGAGCAGTCGCCGTCGTGCCTGCCCCCGAACGCTCCGCAGCGTCCTGCCAGCGTTCACGCCCCGCGCGCGCGTGCGGTACGGTTGCGGCGACATGAGGCTGTATTTAGTCGGATGGGAAGTTTCGTTTTTATTTGACAAATAGTATTCAATTATGGACTAATTATGCTCAAAATGTTCGTCTCGTAATTTCCAACCAAACTGTGTAATTAGTTTTTTTTTCATCTACATTTATTGCTCCATGCACGTATCGCAAGATTCGATATGACAGGTACTGTAGCACTTTTTTGGAAGTATTTTTAGAACTGAACACACACGCTCATTAGATGATAGATCCGCGGGTGAATCTCGCTGCGCCAGTCTGCCAGACGAAAAGTTGCTGCATGCCTCAGTCTCAGGACAGATCGATTCAGCTAGTTATGGACACATGAGATGATCGATCGATCGTGCTAGTCTATCGTCTAGGGGATTATTGCATTAATAACCAAGTGACAGACCACATAGTCCATAGGGCAGGCTTTCTGCATTTCCTGATTTCGTCTCAGCTGTCACCGCGTCAAATATTTGTCTCCGGAGTCCGCAGAGCTACCTGCAATCGCGAGCAGCCGAGCAAGGGTTTCAGGCTCCCACTCCCATGGGCCATGATCTTGCGCGCGGGCCGGAATTCTGGCGTCACGGAGAACAGAGGCAAGGCGGCGCAGGGGTCGACGGGCGAAGTGGGGAAACGGAATCCGTGACTAGCCGAAAGGGCCGTGTGGCGCGGCAATTCTGCGGCCCATCAAATTGCATGGGCTATTTAACAAGCCCTTTCTTTCGGGCTTTAAGGGCCTCGTTTTGTCTTTTTCTCTCGGGCTGACTCCGCCCGGCAAGTTCTGGCTGGAGCACGGCGCCGGCAAGTGGGCGGCGACCCGGTCCGGGCCGACAACTACCCGAGGCGGTACAAGGCCTTCTTCTACAGCAATACCACAAGCTTCATGGCGTCCGTTGCCGGTACGGACTTACGGTCTTCCTGTTGAACCTGTCCAATACAGGAAAAATATACTGGAGACATGGAAAGGGAAAGGGAAAGGGAAAGGTGCGTGGTTAATTCTCTGTTAGTACCAAACCGTGATCTCAACTGCAAGGGACCTAAATAAACATCGCTACCAATTCAACTTCCTCGCCGGCGTCGTGGAGAACGCTTGTGACTCCAGCCTTGGAGGGCAAAGAGTTGTGCCCTATTCGCTCGTCTTACAGCCCATGAACATAAATTAGCCAACAAATATTTATTTAATAATTGAGCTTGAGTTTGCATGGAGGTTAGGGTTCAGGGTTCGTACCTAGCCAAGCGCTCCATGCCCTGCTGCACAACCCACTGGCTAGCGGGCCCACTCCCGTTGAGTCGCGGAGGGGATAGTCGTCCCATGGCTTCGCTCCTAGAGAGCCCCTCTTGCCAACTCTTTTTTTTCTTGAAGATTGAAGATTCTATTGTACCATTAAAACCTACCATATCTCTCTTGCCAACTCTTTTTTTTTCTTGAAAATTCTGTTGTGCCATTATAACCTACTCCCTCTGTCACGTTCTAGGATTGGAACCGGTAACCAAGGTAGGAAGTAAAAGACCCTATTATCCCTACAAAGCAACCATCACATCTGCTGAAAATTTGGAATGACGTGCGCATTCATTGCTCTCCTTGCTCTGCTTCCGTGCCTGGCCACCGCTCCAGCGCTCCTACACAGCAGAAACTGATAGGACATGGATGATTGATGTCTGATTGGGTTAGAGTAGGAGGCTATAACGTCAATACTTTTGGGACAAGCTTTGAGTCCTAGGACGTGAGTAATTCTGAGACGGAGGGAGTACCTTATCTCTTGTATGCCATTTAAATGTGCAAGTTCCCTTCTCTGCTATGACTTTTGATTTCACGTCCAACAATATACCATTATTGCTACAATTTTAAAAATATAGAGAGATTTCTAGTTTGCACAAATGGAGGCCAAAATTGATGATGAGTTGATGACAGTGGCACATAACAAGAGTTGCACAATTAAAAATTGATGACTCGGAAGGAAACCTATACTATATATTTTCAATAACATAGAAGTGATTGCATATTTGCATAGATGAAATTTGGTGGTAAGGGTTATGGAGGATTTTATGAGGTGTGGGTCTTTCAAAATAAGAGATGGCGCAGAAACTGATTTTGGGAAGACACATGGGTAGGCACCTCACCCCTAAAAGAGCAATTTTCCAGCATGCACAACATAGCTGATTGTCCTCATGTAACTGTGGAGACGATCATGAATCAAGTGCCTATTAATGTCTCTTTTTGCAGAGCTTTAATTGAGGTTAAATTGACGGCTTGTCTTAACCTAGTTGCCAAAATAGCCAATGTTCAACTTTCAAATCAGAGGAATGGTTTTAGCTATGATCTACATAATCATGGTCAATTCTAGGTGCGATGTATGCGTACTTGATAAACTAGGATAGATACCCTTTTCACTTATAAATTCATTTAGAAATTAAAGCTCTCTCTTATAAGCACAATTTAGCTAAGGGGCGTTTGAATCCTTTCATTTGGGGGAATTGAAATCTACTTAACAAATTAGGCTATTTGGCTTATAATTTGACATTCCACCTGTCGGGGTTATAACCCTGGGTGTCTCAAGGCACCGATTAGTTAGTGGACCATGCGGCCCACAATATATCAGCTAGCGAAGGCCTGAACGATTGAGGCTAGGCCGATCCAAGAGAACCAGGCCAAGCGCTAAGGCGGGGGCTTGCCACGACCCCTTCAGCAGACTTAGCCGCCCAGCGCACGAGAGACACACGACCACTCCACCGTCCTGACCCCTGGGAGAAATGGGGAGAGGTCAAGAGCAGCCAAGCGTGCCTGCTCTGACAAGAATAGGCACGCCGCACTAACTTCGCAAGGACCGAGGGGACAACGGTCACCTTGGTCCGGTCAGACGCCATCCCTGCGCCACGCTGTGCAGACAAGACAACACCGCACGGCGGTGACAACCAGTACGGTGATCCACCGTCCAAATATGATCTGACAGGATGCATGTACGATTCTACCCACCACGGGATGGGATCCACGATGAAGGCATTGACTTAGAGGCCATCCAGACCGACAGGAGCCACGACCCCGAGGGTCGGGATTGCGGCCCTCAGTTCTTCAAACCAACAAGACGATTGATGACCTAGGGGCGGCTGCCAACTCCTGTACGATGCCCCAGGAAACCAGGGAGCGATGATGAAGACCACGATGAGGACCACGCCGCACAGGACGGCTGGCGAACCACCACCGTGTTTGCAGTGCCGCCACGGCCTGCACAGTAGCACCACGTCACACCATACCGCGACGTGGCCACAAGACCATGACGACAATCATGCCTAGACCTACACCACAAGATGGCGTACCTTGCAAGCTAAGTTAGCTAGGCTCTCCCTCAAGCTCATGACCCTTCGGTCAGGAAAACCTACTGCTTTGTATAAGTCCTGGCCCCAAACTCTATATAAAGGCAGCCAGGGCACCCATCCGAGAAAGGGACTCTGATCCTCTACCATTTTACTCATTCTCCATCGTAGTAGGGCTCCTACAGCTTTTCTTTAGGCAGTCCATCTCCTAGCTCTAGCTCTCCAACCTCTTCCACCATTCTTGCACCCCATTGTAAAAACTTCAGAGCATTCAAGAGAGGAACACGGACTCGATCATCTTTTGAGACTGGATGTAGGGCTCTGGCCTGAACCAGTATAAATCCTCTTGTCTTTTGGATGCTACCATCGTCTTCGTAGAGCAGCGCGATAATCATATAAGTTCACTAGTCCAGTTTACAAAACACTGACAGTTGTCATGCCAGGTAGGGGACAGTCGCGCACTCTCAATTGTTGAGAAGGAAGCGATAGCTTGTCACACCATCGGTGGACTCATCTGCGGAATGGCCCATGGTGGCCACATCCACCACGAAAACTACGAGTTCACCGGCATCAAAGGGCCAGCGCCCGTGTCTGCTTTCAGCCGCACCCTAGACCTCCGCTACAGGAATATGGACCCCACGGTCTACGGCGGACACACTCTTAGAACTGCCCTCAGCGGCAGCATCCTAGAGTACACCTATATTGGGGGGCCTGTACCCTCACTTATCACCAACCATGGCCAGGCCTTCCATCTAGGAAGCCAGAAGACCACCATGGCTCATGACGAACTCACCCAGGAAATGGCCTCAACCGACCACATCCTTTTAGGAAACCACGAGGTTATCCATGCTAATGGGCCAACGCCCATCACCAGCTTCTACCCCGTCTAGGCCAACCGTGCGGGAAGCCTGGGTCCGATAGTAGAGCTACAGTCCGAGCAGCGCCTCCACAACCAATGGAGCGCAGCGCATCAGGGCATGTGTGAACAACAAAAATCACCCACCGCCATGCGGCGACATTGTTAGTGGTCAGGTGGCCAGCCGACGCCACACCTCGAAAGGCCAAGCCCAGAACCAGAGCCTAGCCCTGGTTGGTAGACAAACCGCCCTTCACGCCTGAGCAGATTATCGGCTATCACTCGGAGGCGAGTGCATCTGAGGAAGCGGGCTCCCTATGCACACCGCATGCCACGTCGAGTGGACCAAACCACATTGCATTCAGATCCCACTTGCGCAGTGACAAGTCGCGCCATCTCCTCGTCGAGAGCGGCAACCACACTCAGAGGCGTGGACACAACGACCGCGACATCGTCGCGCCGCGAAGGCTCAACCATCAGAACACACGAACCCTCCCGACCAGAAGCCACAGCGGGCCGAATTCGAAGAAGTCACCCTCGGGGGCTCGCAGGCCCACCGAGGATGTTGAACTAGCAAAGGTCGACCCAAATCCATCCGAGAGGTCAATCCACGCCAGCT